TTTGTTTATAAAAAAAACTTCCAGTACTCAGAGACTCATTTTTCAGCTGCTGGAAAAGTTTTTCCATATTCTTTAAACACAAATGCATGGGAGCATTTTCAAGCAGATGAACAATACAGTTTAATTCTTTGGGGTTTCTGTTTTGGATAAGGATCTGAAAGATGAGGTTTTGAGATCTCCACACAGATTAGCATACAAGACTATGACCTTTTTCAAAGCACAAAAGTATAAATTGGAGAATGAAAAAACCTTTATTTAGTAGAACTCTCTTCCACAAAGCATGTTTGGAAAATCAGCACTTCTCTGTTCCTCCCCCTCATTTCTTGGAACTGTATTTGCTTACATTTATTAAAAAGATCTGTAATTCTGTCGGTGCGGCCAAGCTAGGACAGTTCTGCTGAAACACTTTGGATTTGTTTCTGTTTCATCTGTCAACAGAACCGTCCCCTGCCTGCGGTCTCTAGCTTGTGCCAGCATTGCGGGACCGGGACCGGCCTAAGCATTGGGCAGCGGAGCATGTTTTGCCATGCCAAAGCAGGAGTGTCTGGCCATTACCATTGACTGGTAAACTGACCACTTGTCAAATGGCAGTCACAGGGAATGAGCCTGTGGCCTTGCCGCTCCCCTCAAATTTCAGGCACATACTAAATGTGAGTGTAGGCCCATTGAGAGTCTCCTCTAGCAGCTCATCTAGCAAAACAAGAGGAGGAGCTGTTGAAATGCCTGCCTTTTTCAGGGGTGTGAAGGAAACTGCAGGGCTGCTGGCTGAGGAAGGGACCCTGTGGAGAGAGCAGGCCAGTGCTCTCCTGCCCGTGTTTGAGCAGTGAGTGCTGCCTGCCGGCGGGGCCTTCGCCTGGCTCCTCCGGAGACTGCAATGAGGGATTTCTGCGCAGGGTCGCTGGAGATGGTGTAGTGGGTGTGAGGGATGTAGGACTGCAATGTCGTGAAAAGTTGCAAGCCAGTCTGCTGTGATTTTTCTGTGCTTGGAACCTGGGGTAGGTTAAATCCTGTCCACAGATTGGGAAACGGTCTGCTGAAATGATTTGTCTGTTCTTGGTTTGGCATTTTGCCTCTCCTGTACCAAACAAAATGTCTGATCAGGGTGGCGGAGGGGGGTGTTTCAGCTTCTTTGCTGTCTGTGTGTGTGCTTTTCAGAGTCCTGCCTGACACAGCAGTAACAAAACGGCCTAATATCTTCAGCTGCGCTTTCCTGAACAAATGTCACGTCACGTTTTCCTCTCTGAAGCAGGCCAGTTGGCTGCAATGCTTTAGCTACCTCTCAGGTGGATACTGGACAGAGGCCTTCTCTTTAATGATTTTCTTCAGTGGCATCTTCTCTTTGGAATATTTCAGCTCATTTAGATTTTTTTTGCATCCCACAGAGATGTGTCTAAAAGCCTCTAGGTTTAGAAGTGTCAATGTCATTAACTGAGAGAGGAGTTCTCTCCTACCCCCTCTGTCTCCTTTGAGTTTCTGTATGGAGGGGACTGAATGATATTGTAAGCCCATTCTGACAGTTAACTGGTTTTCTCCTGAAATAATCATATCTGTCTTGCAACAGGTACAGTATACAGAAAGCATGAGCCCATCTTTTTCCAGTCCCTTGGCAATCCCTTTATTTTTAGGTGCATAGATGGCGTCCTTATTGATGGGAACGATAAAGGACTATCAAGATCAGTGTACAGGTAAGCAGTCAAAAGAAACAGGGAATTGTCACTCAACTGATTTAAAACAGTGGTACCAATAGTCTCAGTTCCCTATTATCTTACCCTAAACTGAGTTATATTTTAATATCATCCACCTACGTGTACCTCGTAATGCAAACAACACAAGAGCTGTTATGTACTTGTGTCTTCATCTGTAACACCAATGAGATGCATTTTGATGTACAGAGACTGTTTTGTGTAAAGAAAATAGTTTTAATAGGAGCAGGATGTAGCATAATTTTTTTTTTAATGTTTCTGAGCTGTTACTCAAATCTGCTTAGTGGATTAAAAAAAAAAAGCCTGTATATGGACTTGCTAATACCAAAAGGATGAATCCGGTAACTCCAGCTCTGGTCTACAGATGAGCAGCACTTAAGAAGGGAGCAGTAACCCTTATTATTATTATTTATTTTATTAGTAATTAATATTATTATTTTTGTTATTATTATCATCTCACATTGGAAGGGACCCATAACGATCATCGAGTCCAACTCCCTGCTCCTCACAGGACTACCTAAAACTAAACCATACGACTAAGAGCATTGTCCAGGTGCTCCTTGAACTCTTGGCGGGCTTGGTGCCGTGACCACTTCCCTGGGGAGCCTGTTCCAGGGACCGACCACCCTCTGTGTGAAGAACCTTTTCCTAATGTCCAACCTGAACTTCCCCTGACACAGCTAACCTGGACTGTTTTAGCTTACCTTCAAATATAATTTGTAGCAATTTGTGTTTAAATATGACATGAAAAGAAAATAAAATTAATAACAAGCAAAATGATCTAAAATAATACCTAATTTGAACACTAATACCTACTAATACCAGATTTTAATTCTGGGAGTGAGTTCGAAGTTGATATTGAAATGAGCCTTCACATCTTTAGAGGTGAACGAGATGTGTTGACACTTCCATAATGGTAACATTTGATGTGGATTTCTGGAATTGTATGGGGTGGTTTTGTGCAGGTTCTTCCACCAGAGTCTGAACAACACCACACACTAGTGGGAGGTTTAACTGTACTTCTTAAAGTATCATCGAGGTGTTGGTCCGTGCACACACACCCCCACCCCAGTGTTGTCCTGTCTCCCGGGTGGGCTGGACAGCTGTAACTTCACCCAGCGACTGTGGCTGTTTCTACAGGAGGAAGTACAGGTAACCTGTTAAGTGAAGGAGCAGTGATTCACGTTAACGCTGTTGGTCGTTTCAGGTCTTGCAGCAGGAGAGATCAACTTGGCCCATTTCAAATGAGCGATGAGAGCTGGCTCACAGCTGCCCCGCAAAACCCACTAGCGGTGGGACAGTATGTCAACAACTGCTCACATGGTAAGTTGCCAAGTAAATTTTCCAGGCTTGAGTTTGTCTTTAGGGACATAAATTATTTTGGAGGTGACACAGAGAATCAGCTACTGATGTTGGGGGACAATACTGCTGTTTAAAACAAGATAAGCACTTAGAGGATGAAGAGTTTCTGAGGCCTTTTGTGACAGCTGGGTGTTAGAATCCTTCAGCACAGCAGTGCTTCAGATATCCTTGTGCATTACTCAGTGACTCTCCTAGATCCCCCAGTCGTCGTCTTGGTGTGTAGAATGAAAGGCACGCATCCCAAAATGTGAGGTGGTGGGAAAGGGTATCTGGCAAAGGACTGCTGGGCTGAGACAGTACACAGAGTTGCAGATCAAGTTCCTCAGTACAGTTCCAGCAGGCTTCATGAGAAAGCACAGTGACATGTACAGTAAGATTCTGTCACTGCTCAGTTTGAACTATAATACTTTTCTTAGACTTCCTTAAGTTTATGCACAAAATCTAGGAAACTGTTGGTATGATCTAGCTGTTGGATATGAAGAGAGGAACTATTTATTCTGTTTCACACAGTACGTGTTGGTCTTAAGGTTTGGGGGAATAACCCATTCATGGGAATGGTTGTGAAATGCAGAAAGGTGAATTGCTACCATACCTAGCTTCTAAGTGGCTTTCAGAGCCTGCATTACAGTAAAGATGCCCTGCCTCCAGGTAGCATCCAGAAAGGTTGCTGGAGTAGCAAACCAGGTATTGACTGGCATGGAGAAAAAAGGCTGTCCCATGAAACTATTTCTTCCAGATCCAATGTCCACATAAGGAAAATTTCCTTCTTCTTGCTGGACAGATGGTGATTTTCTCCCTGGCTGTATTTATGACATATTTTGCCACCAGGAAAATTTTTTTCAAGATTTTTTTTAACTGAAAAGCGAATGTTGTATATTAACAACATTTAGCAATGCTGTAAGTTACCCCTGGTGCTATGCAAGTTGTGCCCCTTCATATACATGTTGATAATCATAGAATCATAGAATGGTTTGGGTTGGAGGGGACCTTTAAAGGCCATCTAGTCCAATCCACCTACAATAAGCACCTTCAACTAGAACAGGTTGCTCAGAGCCATGTCCAACCTGACCTTGAATGTTTCCAGGGATGGGGCATCTACCCCCTCTCTGGGCAACCCATCCCAGTGTTTCACCACCACCATCATAAAAAATGTCTTCCTTATATCTAGTCTAAATCTACCCTCTTTTAGTTTAAAACCATTACCCCTTGTGCTGTCACAACAGGCCTTGCTAAAAAGACTATCCCCATATTTCTTGTAGGCCCTCTTTAAGTACAGAAAGGCTGCAATAAGGTCTCCCTGGAGCCTTCTGTTCTCTGGGCTGACCAACACCAATTCTCTCAGCCTGTCCTCGCAGGAGAGGTGCTCCATCCCTCTTATGATTTTTGTGGCCCTCCTCTGGACCCGCTCCAACAGGTCCATGTCCTTCCTGTGCTGAGGACCCCAGAGCTGGACGCAGCACTCCAGGTGGGGTCTCACCAGAGCAGAGCAGAGGGGCAGAATCCCCTCCCTCGACCTGCTGGCCACCCTTCTTTTGCTGCAGCCCAGGAGGCGGTTGGCTTTCTGGGCTGCGAGCACACGTTGCTGGCTCATGTCCAGCTTTTCATCAGGTCTTCATGTTTAATGCAATAAGGATGAATTAAAGCTCCTATAGTTGGTTGTGTATCTCCTGTGTAAATTCAAAATAGGACTTCAGAGGAGTGTAGCAGCTGCCAACAGGGGCATGGTTTTCAGGCTTGATGAAGCATCTGGTACTTTTGCAGAAGCACATTTGATATTTTTACACATCTCTAAACCCTATCTAAGATTTTCTGAGTATCATAGAGACTTTTTTTTTTTTTCTTCTTTCTAGAAAAAGCAGCCAACGTGTGTTATCAGGAGTTTGATGTGCCGGGATATTTTCCAGTAGAACTGAAACAGTATCTTCCAAACATCGTCTACAGCCATGACATAGAGAGGTTAGCAGCAAATCAAAGAGCTCATAGATTTGTATGCTGCAAAGCATACTGTATGTGTAAAAAAGACAAACATAGTTGAAGAATGAAGAAGCTCTTTGAATAGACTAATCTTATGTGATTTACAAGACTATTTATTTTTGTTCCTTTTTCCACATCTCTGCAAGTGAGATCAGGATAGCTCTGAAGACAGTTTTACAAGCAGTGGTTACACTAGAGTGATTCTTCTGAATCCCATCGAGCACTAGTTATATTTTGCTTGTATTACAGTACTGAGGTTTTTCAGTATGTATTTCAAATGTTGTTAGCAACCTTTAAGCAATCAAAGCTCTTCTAAGGTAGCTGAGATTTAGGCTTCTTGCTCTCTTGTTGTCCATATCTTCTGCTTATGTGAGGAATAGGCAGATTAATTTGTAAGAAGAAACCTAAAATTAATGTGTGTTGAGACAAGTGAAATACTATGCAGTATAAAGGCATGTGACTTTTCATTATGCTACACAATTAGAACATCCTCATTATGACCTTAAAATCCACCTCTTTTAGAAATTAAAACACTTAGGAACCTTTCTCAGGTTTTTGTTTGGAAATGTGGGAGAAGTGACAATTAGATGAATATGTACAAGCAGCAATATGGACAACAAGGACAGTATGTCTGGAAGTGAGTGTCGTGTACTGGAATGTAGTCAAGAATAACTTTGAAGCTGTGGGAAAGTAAGTTGTGATGTTGGTCCTGAATTTAACACACTAAAGAAATTTGTGCTTCTGGTCCAGTTGCTGCCTTCAGGAACCAAATAATCCTCTTCATCCAGAGGATGTGTAAGGATTTTAGAGCAGATCATCTAGACTTTTAATGTCATTCTGGAGTTATTTTAAAACTCTGAAGTGTGTTTGGAGAAAGTCACGGTGCCTATTGGAAAAATAGTTTTTCTGATTAAACTTAGACTTTGTTGAGGCAAGGTTAAAGGTGCACGTGTAATCTGCAAATAAATAAATAAATGCTAATAAAAGAAACGGTAAGACCAACCTCTCAGGAAGCCTGGATGCTGTACTTGAAGTGTGAAAGTGCAGTGAGCAGAGCTGAGCTATGGGACCATTTCAGGAAGGGGGAATTTTGCTCTCTTCCTTGGAATCTGTCCAAGAAAATACAGTCTTTCAGTCATCTGTTCTCCCGGTGTACAGCCACTAGACAAAAGATCCCATCTGCTTCTAGCTGCTTGTTTTGATATTAATATTTACAGTGCTGGCAACATAGGTAATCTGGTTTCTGAATCTTTTTCGATCTTGTAAAAGAATTCTTGGTACTTGTTTACCTTTTTGTTGTAGTCATTTGATTTGTTTCAAAATGGCATCACACTGAATTTCTTAGTAGTGGGGACTGTTTGCGTTGATGCTGTCCTTCACTTTCACTGTCATCAGCATCAGAAGAATGTGCTCTCCTTCCTAGAATAGATACTTCAGCGTTAGGGCGTGGCCATTTACTTAAAGGAGGTGTAGGGGGCTGGGTTCCTCTGTCTCTCTGTAAGAAAACTGTTTGCCAGCCACTGATTTCAGCTTGGGGTTTATGGAGAATTCACCCATCATCGTAGATTGCAGCAGGTCTCTGATGCGGCTCTGAGCTCTCTTCCTGGATGTTGTTTGGCTGAGAGTGGTTTTAGTCAAGGAGCGCCTGTGGGGAGGCGTGTCTAGAGGAATGATTTCTGCTCCATGAACTTTGCTGTAGCTTCTCCTCCTGTCTGTGTAAGTGTCTTTTTCTCTGTCTTGAGTAATGCTTTACATTTCTCAATATTTGTGTGAGTGGAAACGTTATTTGCATACCCACATAGGCTGTGCTTTTTTTGGTAGTTATATTGGTTTTGCTTACATTTGCTATCTGTATTTCAGTGTTGTTTTTCCAGGCTCCCTGGCCTGCATTATGCATGTTACTCCCAAAAGTAATCTAGACAGCGCCATTGTTTTAGCTCCTTGCTGTGAAGAATTAAAAAAATTCAAATGAAGCCAGAATTGTTCACTTCCACATGTTTTGCTTTTCCTTTTTTTACAGCCACCCGAGGTGTGTAGTGCTTGTCACTCTCAGAGACATCAAGCAAGGAGAAGAACTTTTTTCTAATTACTACACCATTGTCAGCTGAATTAATAGGTTCAAGACTGAAGAAATCTGTGTCATTAAAATACTTACTCTGTGTGTACTTCAAGCTTCATGGGCATTTTTACATAACGGAGGGCTGTAGCTTTACCATTTAGAAAGCAAGCTGCAGGCTTGTATTTCCCTGAAAATACTCCACATTTGATGCAGAGGTGAAGGTTTAACAATTTACATCATTAGGTTCTCAGTTGTCTACTGTTGCTGATATTATTGCTTATTGGTGTTCAGCTGTCCATACAGAAGCTTATAAAATAAAATCCTAAGTTCTGGACATGTCATTTAATCTTCTAGTTTGCACAGTTGTCTCTAACTGTGGCCCAGTTTTCATATTTTGCCATTTCATGTCTCGTGCTTACAGTGGACACAGTTTGTAAAAATGACTTCCCTCTCGTGAACTATTCCTCAGATAATCCTCATAGTTCACGGTAATTACTAGTTCTTGTTCTGGTTTTCTTGGAGTTGGTCCCCTTGGTATCTCCTTCCTTTTAGAAGGCATTTCAATGTAGCCAGTTGCCCAAATGTTTTATGCAGCCAATTTTGGAACAGTGGCCCTTCAGATGTGCCTGCATGGTGCGCTGTCATCAAGAGGCCAGCTTGAGCCACTGGCTTTAGCTGTGCCTGTGTTGGGGCAGGAGGAAAGGTGGTTTTATCTTGAAGCCCTGTCCAATCCTAGTTTCAGTGGTTCAGTGAAAGTTTCCTGGCATGTGGCAACTTTTATAGCTTTTATTCTCAAAGAGAGAGAACTTCATGTTGCAGCATAGCTGGAAGAAATAACGCCAACCAAGTGTGCTGTGTATTTTTTTTTTTAATGAGTTACTGGCATAAACAGAGCCAGCCACTCCCACATTAATTCTTGCTGCTGTCTGCAAACTGCCTTCAGAAAATAAACAAGAGACAGCTTGTCAGTCTTTTGGTCTGGCTAAACAGCTTGGGAAAGAAAAATCATCCCAGTATATACTGCAGAAGTCCCAGCAAGCGTCCCAGTGAATTTGTGGTTGGCATAAGCTCATGAGAATGGAGGAACTGGGAAACTGTGCTCTCACAAACCTGGTAGTGGTTGGGGCAGCCGGGGTGCCCTGCTTAGCTGCAGAAGCACCGAGTCTCCTTTTCTGAATGCAGTTTTTCGGTGTCTGTGCTACTTGGTCTCCTTCCAAGCCCGAACCTTGTCTTTCATATTCACCTGGAACTCCTCAGCCGGAGAAGGCTGGCTTTTTCAGGAAGATTTAAACAGCAGAGCTATGAGACAGTGGCATGTGGCTCAGCATGGGTCGTACAAGTTTTATGAAGATGCTGGGGACAACCTCTAGTGACAGTCCTTGTGTCTTCATGGCGTGGTAATGGATCAGAGCAGGCAGTGATCTCCAGTCTACTGAAGAGGATGCTCATCCTCCACCACCCAGAGGACCCCTTATCTCCCCCGCTGACTCTGGAGGAGGCTATTGTGCATCTATTGATCTCGGAGGCGGCGGCTGGTCATCAGGGTGCCTGCAATGCTGCTGAGCTCGGCGGGTCGGGGTTTATGGGCAGGTGGGGAATACCAGTCTCGGAATGCCAGGAGAGGCCGGTGCTGTTCATGTTCTCCAGGCTGAGATGCTGTCATGCGAGGGCATTAGGTGACTTCAGCTGTCTCATCATATACTTGTTAATACTTCTTAAATGACTGGATTTGAAAGTACGCTCCTGTCCGACGACGGTGGAACCCAGGTTTACAACTCATTCATTGAGAAAGGTTTGCGTTACTGCGCTTCCCGCCTCCCGGATGCGAACATTGCACGGCGGCGGGGGATTGCAGTGCTGAAGTGCAGGCTGCCTGTCACTGACAGGGTACCTGGGACTAGCTTCTCCTTGCTGAAATACTGAAGCCTGACAGCCTGCTTCAGGGACAGCTCGTACGTAGGGGAGAGCAAGGCCTGGTCTGGAACTGGCAGCAGCAATTGATTTCTGTCAACTGGTGGCTATAAAAAGCCAAAATATGGCAGGAGCAGGAGAAGGAGGTGCCGTCAGGTGGTACTTCTGAGCAGGAAGCCGCACAACACGGGGACTGAGCAGGAGAAAGGAAGATGGAAGAGTAGAAATAATGGTCCAGTAAAGTGCTGCAGCCTATGAAAGGGCTTCAGGTATGTCAGGCTTTTCCTTGTCTTTAGACTCCCATCCCTTCATTAAAGGTGAAAGTCATCCTGATGCCCTGTGCGCCCATTTGTTACCGCCAAACTGACACTGCCAGTGCCTGGGAGGAGGATGCAGTCTGACGTTATTTCAGATGTAACGTGCAATCTGATAATAACCCAGTAAAAGTCTCTATGCAATCTATTTATGGTTTGTTAATAATAATAAATAATTCATTACAGGAAGTACAATCTCTCTCTTGAAAGATGATTTACCTGGGTGATTTTCATGGGAGTTCCCTAAGAATAGGGGCTTACTTGGGTAACTCTGCCTCTCTATGCCTGTACACTTAGTGGTAGAAGAAGGAAAGGAAAATCAAACTAAAATGTAAGGCAGTTTCAATTACTGACAGGCCAGATCCGCAAAGTCCTTCTCCCAGATGCGGACCCGTAGTCTGCACGTGTTAAAATACTGCACTAATTGAGGGGAGAATTTGTACGTTGAGATCTGTTGCCAGCTGTGGTGCACTGGCTGGGGTCCTCGGCGGGGATCACAGCCTGGCTGGGATGGAGTTAATTTTCCCCACAGCAGCCCTCACAGTGCTGTGCTTTGTATTGGTAGCTGGAAGGGTGCTGGTAACACACCAGTGTTTTGGGTGCTGCTGAGCCGTGCTCCCACAGCATGAAGGCTGTCTCTCCAACATTCCCCCCTCGCCATTGGGCTGGGGGAGGGGACGCAGCCAGGACAGCTGACCCAAACTGGCCAAAGGGATATGCCATACCATATGATGTCTGCTCAGCAATAAAAGCCAAGAGAAAGGAGGAGGAGAGGGGGGCATTCGTTACTATGACGTTCGTCTTACGGAGTGACCGCTACATCTACTGAGGCCCTGCTTCCCATTCCCATTTTTGTTTTCCTTCGCTTCTGCTCAGCCTTCGCTTTTCCTTTATTAAACTGCTTTTATCTTGACCCATGAGTTCTTTTCCATCTTATTTTCTCCTCCTCATCCTGCTGAGGAGGGGGGTGATAGAGCAGCTTGGTGGGCACCCGGCATCCAGCCAGGGTCACCCCACCACACCAACGTAAGAGCAAGGCCAGGAGTCCGTGGGGAAAATTGAAAGGTTCGCCACTGCATGGAGAGTGTCAGGGTTATTTTTCCTGGATTTGTCTGAACTCCTTACCCCTGTGGTAAATGTCCTGGTAGGCCTGGCGCTGCCAGTGTGGGAGTCCCCTGACTGCAGGCAGCGAGTGCAGCTTGACAAATTTGGGGGCTGAAAGGCTGAGAAGCTTAGCAGGTTGGGCCAGTTCCCTCTGCCTCCTCAGCAGGGGCAGGAGGATGGAGCCCTTGACACTACAGTATTGACTTGGAAACTCTGAGGGGCAGCTGCTGCTGTTCAGATGGTGAAATCAGCTTTTGGAATAAATGAGATGATTGCATCAAGAGACACCCAGCTGGTCTTACCAGGCTCTTCTGAAGAAAACTGGTCTGCACGGCTCTGACTTCTGACTTCTTAGCTCAAAAGGCAAAGCTGGTGGTAACAGTCGACTGTAGTTCTCCAGGAGGTTGTTAGCTGGAATCCCTGTCAATTCAGCATGGCAGGAGAACAGAGGTGCTTGAAAGATCAAGAGATGAGCTAACGAACTTTGCAGGGGTGCTGCAGACTCCCAGAAAGAATAGAGAGCTGGCCCCCATCAGGAGAGACTGTGTCTGCTGGGGGAGGTGGCTGCAAGGGGGCAGCCCAAG